ACCCCTGAGCCTCTGGCCTGTACCCCAGTTCTGTATGCACAAATAAGTAAATCTTTAAATATATATATATATATATATAAACTTTAAAGAAGAAAATTCTACAAGTGGATATGTGGAATCATATTTACAAATGTCTAGGTGGAATAATTTTTTGAGAAACAACAAACACTTGATTTTCTGAGGCTCTTAAAGCCATTTATGCGATCCCACTTCAGAATCTCAAAAATTATATTGTGCTATATCCTTTAAACACTACACTGTAAAAACTTCACTTTGAATGATAATTCTAAAGTCAACATTTATTCATAAAAATGATGTCAAGAAACTAAGAAGAAGCCAAAACATGCAGCTATATTTTCTTTATATGAATGGACGACTGACTGAACAGCTAAATAAGCAGGCAGCACTACCAAAATAGGTTATTTGCTTTCTCACCTTTGTTAACTTTCTCCAATCTAATCCTTGCTTCACTTGTGCCCCACTCAGAGCTGTCTTTCGCGGAAGCTCTTGTTCTACTTGGAGCACTTCTAAATGCTGACTCAATGTGGTCCCACCACCGACATCAGAATTACCTTTGGTCCAATTATTCTGGGAACACTGAGAATTTGGCAATGCAGACCCTGTTGATGTCTCATAGGTTTTCAGCAGCTTTTCCACGACACCATAATTTGACCTGGGGTCAGCTGATCTTGGTCGGCCGGACAAATTACTTGGTCTCCAGTCATGCTCATGGAGCATGTTACGATAACTGCTAGGACTCAAGCGTTCCTGCATTTGCCTGACTAAGCCCATGCTGGATATTTTGGTGGGATTACCAGGCATGTTTTCCCTGGGCACAGATATGTGGGCACTTGTTTTCAGAAGATCAGATACACTGTCATTTTCTGATGTGTTACCTGTGCATGTGATTAAAGTATCAGCGGGCTTAGGAGCTTCAGATGATTTTGAGCAGCTTTGACTTTGCTCTGTTGCACAATTCCTATTTGTCCTAAATACGGTTCTGTTAAATTCATCAGTCTTTGCTGCCAGCTTTTCATTCCTTGTAGTGCGTTCAAAGCCACAGCTGAAACTTCTAAGTGGGCCACTGCTCTGCATCCGGGGGGAGCAGCAGTCACTGCTCTTATGAAGTTCAGGATGAGATTTAGCAGGATGATCTGGGGCTACCTTTTCATACTTGAGTTTATGAGGAGGAGAGCAGGTTTTCTGAAACCATACTGCAGGAGGGCTATATTTTGCACCTACTCCAATGTCACTTGACCATATGCTATGTCCAGCATTTTCATTACACGGAGGTTTGTCAGCTAATTTAGCTTCTGGTGCCAAAGAAGAACACAGGATGCTATCTTTTGAAGGTTTCCCTTCATTTAAACAACACATAGGCATTTCACTGTGACTCTGAGGAAAATGAAGATTACAGTTCCTTTCACTTTGACATTCTGGTGCCACCCATATGTTGTGGTCTAAACTTCTCTTCAAAATTTCATGGGCTTGTTCAGCATATAAGCCGGGAAAATTTCGAGATGTGCTTCTTGGAGGAGGAAGTGGTGGACTTTCATTTTGTCGCATATTGATTGCATCAATTCCACATATTTGCACAGAATTGTTTTGGAGCATATGAGTACCACACAGATTCTTTCTATTTTTCTGTTTTTCTTTTTCTAAGGTGACTGAAAGAACGCACTGGCCATGGTCGGTCATGTGGTCTCCATGAGGCAGATTAATTACACTTGGCATTTCCTGGAGGAAAGACTCTGACTTCATCCTAAACAATGATAAACATAGTAGTTTAGTAATAATTTTACTTAAGATAGATCTTAAAGAAAACAATGGATTTCTACTGCAGGAAATATATTCACAAGATCTATAAGCATCATTTCTATATAAATTCCCTAATCAGACATCTCAAGTTCCCTGTATCGTCGGGTAAAGCCCATCTTTCAGCGTTGCATACAAATCTTTACATCTTCTGACTCAAATTAGCTTTCCAATCTTTCTTTTTTTCCTATTATTTGAAACTTCACCTATACGCAGACTGTGTAACCGCTGGTAGGTCTGTGTAGGCTCTATGCATTTGCTGTTGGCATTCCTGTTTCTTTGGTTTCCTCTTGACATTTTCTTTCCTCTGGTCTGCCAAGAGATTCCTACTCATCATGTCATGTTAGCTCAAGTTCCTATCCTTGAATGTGAAGTAACATTTTAAGTGGAATGACAGAAACAGGAATAGATGTATAATAAAACACAATGCCCAGTGGATGGTATCATTGGATTTGAAGGAAGTAAAGAGTAAAGTGAACAGCAATAAAAATTGTGTGACTAGTCAAGTCAGTTGTTTTGTGTGGATGGATTATAAAGCCTAGTTGGAAAAATGATAGAAAATAAGAAAGATTAGGTCAAATTATAATCTTTGAGTAACATTGTAATGATTCTGAATTTTTTTCTAAAGACTATAGAGTGACAGGAGAACTTTAGACAGGTGTAATTTGTTTTTTTGATTTTTTTTTTAAGATTTTATTTATTCATGCATACAGAACTGGGGTACAGGCCAGAGGCTCAGGGGCGGCGAGAGGCTTCACCAGAGACAGAGTGGGGAGCGTATGACGCAGATCGTCCAAGTACACTGCTGAGGGGAGCAGCCGGTGGGTCAGGAGAGGTCTGCCTCGCCATGTGGTCACCTCCAGGGCAGATGGGAATCGAACTCATGAGGAAGTGGCTTTAGCTTCTCAAGGCTGTGCTTTAACCTGCTGCGCCACCAGGGAGGGCCGACAGGTGTAATTTGTAAAAAATAAATAATAAATCTTTTCTGAATTATCAAATACACCTAAATATAGCCACAGTGTGGCTTCGAAGTGGAAAACAGAAAGCCCACCTTTCCTAATTGACAAACGATCTAACACATTTGCTAATATTATTTCTCCATACCTTGAGTTAGAAATCAACCATTTTATTCTCTACATTTGTACAACTTAGGGTGGAGGAGAGTTAAAGTTTTGTGATAGAAAGCAGGTAATTTATTATCTTATTGCCCAAATTAAAATAATTATATCCTATGGAGTAAGTGACATCATTAATGCTGGATGGGAATGATAAGTAAAATATATTTATATTTATTTCAGTGGAATTTTGCACATGTGAAAATGTGGTTAAAAAGGACTTTGTAAGGATTCTGGGATTGTTTCTGTTATGGTACACAAACATCTTTGACTGATAGTGGCATTTTAAAGTGGTAGAAGCCAAAACATTCTTTACTTAGGGGCTCGGGGTATGGCTGTTGGTAACACATTTTATGATGCTGTCAGTAATTTAAACTAAAAACAAGCCAAAAATTATAGGAGTTGAAATATACAGAACAAAAATAAGTGTCATGATTATTCTAAAATGCAATGGACAAGATAAACACTCAAATTTTTCATCTATAAGAATTTTACAATAAAATCATCATTTACTTAGTAAAACAAATAAAGCAAAAAAGAACTGTATTAAAGGACACATCTTTTTTTTTTTTTTAAAGATTTAATTTGTGCATACAGAACTAGAGTACAGGCCAGAGATGCAAGGGCAGTGAGAGGATTCACCAGAGGCAGAGTGGGGAGCAGAACATGCATATTGACAAAATATACTGCTGAGGGGAGCAGCGGGTGGGTCAGGAGAGGTCTGCTACACCATGTGGTCACCTCTGGGGCTTTAGTGCTGTGCTTTAACCCACTGTGCCACCAGGGAGGGCCCGGACACATCAATTTTTAATGGAGAGTAAAGTACTCCAAATACTCAGATTACAAGGAAAATCAGAAGATTTGCTTTAAGTGAATAGAGACTATCTGACAGTTTGGATACGTTCACTGAAAAAAAAAAATGTGCTTCTTGATTTTTCAATGTAAAAGAGTAAGAAATGCAGAGCTTACCTTCTGTGGTTAGACCGCTTTCTAATTTCTTCTTGAAAGCTACATAATTCTTCACTAACTTTGGCAAGTTCTTCAAGAGCCTTTATATAGAGAAGCAATAGCATGTTAGAATTTCAAAATGTAAATATTTCCTTAGAAACAGTTGTAGGTCAATTACATCTCACTTACAGTGCTAAGAGCACCAGAACGGTCCTTGCTCTCTTCCTCAGATGTCCTCAGGTCAAGCCAGGCCTCACATTCCTTTGGGCTGTTTGTGACCAAAGGATCCATAAACCCTACTTTGGATTTTTTTGATGCTTTTTGTTCCTTACACATTTGATTTCCTTCCTCAAGTAAGCTCTTATCCATTTTATTGTCTTTTTCCAGACCATCCCTGTGATTCATCCCTATAAATTCACATTTTCCTGAAGTGGGGTAATTTGGAGAACATGCCACCATTTTATCTTGAGTGGCCTTCTCATGATCAAGATTGGTGATCTTAGCACGTTCATTCATGTTGAGTTTCCTCCGAAGTTTTACTTCATGGCAAAGCTGTAAAGAAAACAAAGATATGGCTTTTTTTTTTTTTTGCCTTCTGATTCATGCTGTCAATCTTTTTGATACTAAGCACATTGTTTAGAGTCCTCTTTGCTAGATTACAATACTCTTCCCTTGGGTATTAATGCTTGTCCCCGAAAACAGCACTTTGAAAATCTGCATTTAGCTGGAACGACTTCTATGAACCGTAAAGATCATAAAGCACCAGTGATATTTTCTGTCTTCCTGAGAAGGAAAAAACCCCTTTCAAAGACAAAAATAACCTGTAACTATGTATTAATGTGATACAGAAGCACTATTTAAAAACTGAAATGACCTGAACCAATTACTAGCTATGCCCTAATTACTTTCAGAGAGAAGGAAGAATTTAACATTAAATGTGAGTTTTAGAAATATACGATCCTTTGTGTTTGCCAAAATTTAGCTGGCTAACTAGTTAACAGTCTCCTGGCACTCATTCTGTTCCCTAAATAGACATTTTCCAATCAAAGGATGTTTTCTTTCAAAATTATGTTGATGAGGGAGGGCTAGTATTACTCAGATTTTTTTTAAACTCTTAAAGTTTCTCATCTGGGTTAAAACAAAACACTGTTCTGTGCAATATGATAGAATACTAAGGCATTGCTCATCTATTAGTCTATATTAAAAGTGGATCCAGCATTGACCTTAGCTCCATGACCTTTGTATAATGAACAAGCAACCTCTCGGCTTGCCTTTGAACAGAGGAAGGAAGAGCTTTCTGTTCCTACTTAAGTTTTGGAAAAGCTAATAGAATTTCAGAGGAGAATGTCAAATAACTATTTAAACCAGTATCTCTACATTTTACAACCTATATATCTGCACTGTATCATTATTCAAGGAACATGATGACAGCTTTATTGCTGCACAATATTTATTCAACACTCAGACAAGAGAAACTCTATACATAACTGATACTTGAGAAATATAAAGTATATTTATTTCTCTAGATACTTATACACCTACAAGTGGATGAAGTCTACATAGCATTATTGTAGACATGAATTGTTTTGGCCCCTGTAAAATCATTAATACTGAACTGTTTTGGGGGCTTATCATAAAGGATATTCTAAGAAACAATCCTTAAAACAACCATATTAAACTTAAGGTTGCTTTTGATAACAGTGTCCTATTTTTGAAGAAGAATGGTTGAAATCAAAATTGCTTTAGTTTTAAAATCAGGGCCAAATGATGCTATTCATGATAAATAGATTTGCCTTTTTTTTCTTTTTTCCCCCCCATTATTGAGAGGGACACATATGTTAATTCCTGCTTAGGTAACAGAAAGACAGATTATTAAGATACATTTTGCATTAGACCTCTCTGTCTTTATCTCATCTTTCTTAGCAAACTTTATATAGAATTTTATACATCATCTTAAGTTCTTTTGGGGACTTAAATGAAGTATGAACAAACAAATAGCATAATGTTGTTGATGGAAAATCATTTATTTTATGTAAGGGAACTTGTGTTGCCTGGTCTGATCTTCTGAGCAAAGCACACAAACATGAAAGAATGCAAGATGATATATTTAAAAAATCCAAGGAATCTATGAATTTTACATAGGGTTTCTGTCAGATTATTCCAGGTTTCAAATTATTCAATTATGTGTGTGTGTGTGTGTGTGTGTGTGTATATATATATATATATATATATATATATATATATTTACAACAGCAAATTCAGTGACTGAATAGTGACTGAACAGAGACTCATTAGAATCTTAGTATCATCAGTATGTTGATATCCAGTGCTGGCTCTTTATAGTATTAATACTTAGAATAACTGAAGCTATATGCATGAAAACCCACAGTTATAGAACACATAGCTATTTGTGTCTAACTTAAAACACAAACAGTGATAAATGTTAAACATGTTAGTCTGTCATGCTTACATACTAGCATATATTTCCCCAATATTGATATTTTAGTTTAAATAAAAATCCTTGATTATCTATGAGAATCCTATCTTTCTAGTTTCCTTAATCTTTTTTACTCTTAAGTTTTGTTGCCTGTAAGATGGGCTATATAAAAAGTATGTTCTTATTGCCCATAAAGCTGAGAGTTCAGAAAATCTATATATCAGTATGATATGGAGAGCACAATGCTAGTGTTTAGCAATGAAAAAGATCATCTTTGGATATTCTAGTAAGTACATTATCTAAACATAAATCCAGGCATGGAGCTTCATACTGTAAGCAGCAAGATGAATAAGCCATAGCTGCAGTCCAAGATGAAAAAAAGACAAATTATTAAAATCCCTCTGTCTCTCTGATACTAAAAGGGACAGAATTTCTGTGGATATAATTCTAAACTTAAAGTGTATGTTTAATGCCTGCTAATTATAAGACTACTATTTACCATAGATGGAATCTATAGAGCTATTAGAATACTTATTTGACAACAACAATTTTAATCAAACAGAAAATTATTTTAGTTGCATGGCTTTAGCAATTGGCTAGACTAATTTTGCCCCTTTATTATTATGCTTGAATATCTGAGTTATCCGAGACAGTTAATACCTGGATTCAGTGATCCCTAACTTCATGCCAGTTTCTGATTAAACTGCAGTTCTAGATTCTGAACTGATTTAGGGATATCCTTGTTGAGCAAATCTTAGTCTTTGGGGAGAGGAGATAGGATATCGAGCAAAATATTTCCCAAAATATAAAGGGACAAGAAGTAGACTCCCCTTGCAATCTTCAATCATACCCTACATGCCTGCCTTCTGTTTTAAAGTACTATTTTTATCATTACTTTAAAAATGTTTCCTTTTGGCATGTTAATTTGTATTTTATTCATAATCAGTTGCACGGCTGTTAATAAGGACATTTTTCATTACAAACATCTAAAGCTCTAGCTTACCTTTGAACAAAAGCAAAGAAGTCTGTTAAAATCACTGCTTTAGCTATGTACATAAAATCATATAAATCAGTAACATGGATGTTAGCAAAAGAAAACAAGATAAGTCTAAGTAATTTTCAGTTAGAACAAGTTTAAACATACATCAATGTAAATACTTAAAGGACATATTCCAGACTCAACAGGCTAAGGGATGGTTAAATAAGGATACAATGGCTATTTTTATGAGAAATAAAACATGGCAGGTTTGATAACTATTTTCCCAATAAATGTGACAACAAATAAGCTATCCCATGCCAGAATAAATATTATGTCCACTATTATTTTCTGCTTGATATATGATACTCTTTTTTGATTATATGGAACAATCTAATATGTAATTGTCTTTAGACATTGTTCAGCAATCATCTCAGGAAAGATCTTTATTTTAATCACTGCTTGTAATTTTGCTAATATATTTTTCCTCCTGAAAAGTCAGGGCATTTGCATTATTCTTATGTAAAATACATACCTCATTTTCATATCACAGTACTTTAGTCAAAAAATAATAAATTGATAACACTTTGGAGTGGTATGTCAAGTTCTTAACTTCTGGGCAAAACTATGAAGTAAGCATGATTTCTACAATACCACTCAGTAAGGTTATGCTATTTTTGGTCTAGTAAATGTCACTGGGACATGCATATCTTAGGAGGTATAGGAAAATAAAAATAGCTTTTAATACAAAATGAACTTCAACAGAATTTTCATTTGGAGCTTTAAGTTTTACAATGAATACAAAACAAATCATCTTGTACCTCCTCTATCTTCTTCTGCATAATCTTCCACTGACTTTCCCATTCCTTCCTTTCATTGTCAAACTGGTCCAGTAAATCCATTTTTTCCTTGTGCCAGCTGGTCTCTGTGTTCTCCCATTGCTTATGCAGGTCCATGGCGACCGTGGGAGTGTTAGAGAAGGGGTGTCTTGCTCGTCTCTGCTTTCTCTTAACTGTTTCTTGGAAACTGGAGTTGTTTTATTAGAAGCAGTCTCACTTGCCTTAAAAAAAAAAAAAAGCCTAGTATAAACATAATGAAGGAGAGAGTTCCACAGCCATGCACTTTCTGGAAATATTTTATCAGTTTGTCAAAAACCCGTATATAAACAAATTATAGGAAAATTGGACTCAAAAGAAGAGATGACATCAGTCTGCTCATGGAGAAGAAACTAAGCCGAAAGAGAAGCATTGTCTAAGTTTTTTCTCTACTTTCTGAGACTAGACAGCAAAATTACCATAGACAAGATAGTTGAAGTTACATGTGTGATATGAGCATTCCTTTAACCAAGTAAAGATAGAAACTTTTCATGAATTATCTGAGATTTGAAGCATGAAATTCAACAGTATGGTCAACATATGCAACCATGGTAGATTTTCAGACAATACAATTACTCTTTCTGTTCTGATGCAAACAAATTACAAATTACTGTAACTTAAAATCTTGAGCCAGTGTTGTACTATGGCTTCAATTCTATTCCCAGCTTTCAATCCCATGCCAAATTTGGTACTATGTTAATTAACTAAGAGTCCAAAATTGGTAATCAGTATACTACTGATGTATCAATAAGAAAACAACTAAGTATGAAAATAATTTCATTATTTTATCAAGTAAAATGTTAAAGCACCAAAACTATCCTGGAAGCCATACATCACCATTTATCCATGCCCTCTCTTCCGTCTGATAGGTTAAATACAGAACATATTTAGGAGATTGAGTACTGAAGAAAAGCATTTTGCATAGTATGCAGGAAATCTTCATTCACATTAAGCAGTAATAGTAATGACTTTTCTAACATTTAGGCATGTGCATTTTAGGGTCTGAATGTGCAATTTAAAATGCCATGTTGGTATCTATTATAAATTGTATAAAATTTCTGAGATTTAGTTTATATTAAAGTGGCACTACTCACAGGGTGGCCATATAGATGCAATGACAGATGAAATGTAAAGTAGTTGGCAAAATTTTTAAAATGTCCTTATTTTCTGAATTAAAAAAAAAAATCTTTAAAAACTGACTTCCATAAAAATAATTTTTATTAAAATAAGGTCACATACTTTCTTAATGGGTAGAAAGGCATATTTAAAATGTCTGATTCTTGAGCTTCCTCAGTGCTACAGGGGTTAAAGTCTCAGTGCTATCAAGTTATCACCAGCCACTGAAGCATGAGTTTGATCCCCAGCTAGGGAGCTGACCCACATGGTGCAGCAGACCTCTCCTGTCATCCACAGCTCCTCTTAGTAGTGTGTTTCAGTAGATCTGCCTGTTCTGCTCTCCACTCTGTCTCTGGTGAATCCTCTCACACTAGCACCTCTGGTCTACTATGCATAAATAAATAAAAAATAAATCTTAAAAAAATCGGCTCTCTGGGCCCTCCCTGGTGGCGCAGCGGGTTAAAGCACAGCATTGAGAAGCTTAAGCCACTTACACATGAGTTCGATTCCCGCCTGCCCACGAGGAGATCCACATGCGAGGCAGGCCTCTCCTGGCTCACTCGCTGTTCCCCTCAGCAGTGTACTTTGTCAATCTGCCTGTTCTGTTCCCTGCTCTGTTTCTCTGGTGAATCCTCTAACCCTCCACGTCTCTGGCCTGTACCCCAGTTCTATATGAATAAATAAATAAATCTTAAAAAAAAAATTGGCTGAAAAACAAGTCTATAGGAAGTCTAACTTTTACTATTCTAGTTCACCATCACAAAAATATTTCATTATAATGCATACCCCCCTATGTTTATTGCAGTACTATTCATCATAGGTAAGATGCAGAATCCACCCAAATGCCCCCAAATAAATGACTGGCTCAAGATGTGGTATATATACACAATGGAATACTACTCAGCAATCAAAAAGATAAACCCATGCCATTCGCAGCAACATGAATGAAGCTAGAGGGGATTATGCTCAATGACATAAGTAAGAAGGAAAAAGAAAAATATTGGATAGTTTCACTTATATGAGGAACATAGAGCATCTAGGAAAAAAACAAAACATAAAAAGGTAACTATAAATTAGTGATACTCTTCAGGGGAGAGGGTGGGAAAGGGATCAAAGGGAAGAGCACAAGGGATGATGGAGGGAGTGCACAGAAGAACTGGTGGGAATTCTATGGGGACTACACCTGAAAAAGAAAGCAAACACTACAAAAATGAACAATGATGTAAAATATGTACAAGTAAATTATATACTAAAACTATTTTAATTTATAATATTAGCTAAACATTATAGAATAATTTTATTTATGTCAGGTTATTCCACACACACATATCCAGCTGGTAAAGTACTTCAAATGTATATTTTTAAGCATCAATCTATCCATGAATTATAACAGACTAAAAGGACTAAAATAATATTCATGCTATATTCAGGGATCTACCTTCAAAAACACCCTGGTAATAAATAGCACATACTATATTCTAACTCTTCTCCCAAATGTCTTGCTACAGATACTCTATCATGTTTATTTCTTTGGCACTCACAACATTATGATTAATTACATCAGGAAAAAAAGCAATTTCATATTTATCCATTAACAATGCTATCATCCTTTTTTCGGCCACTTAGCTATGTTCTCCAACCTTATTTTCCATTCTCCCTGTCATCATCTTTCCTTTCTTTTTTGCCGTCCATACCTGCCCACAAATATCTTCCTAGTGGAAAATATTTGCAAATGCAAACCACTCCAAAAGAATATGTCATGAAGACCAAACACAAAGATTATACAGAATCTTATGTTTTTGTTTGTTTGGGGTTAATCTGTCACTGAAAAGATTACCTAGTAATCTTTTAAACTCATCTAAATACTATTCATCAGAAATACAGAGAGTATTTATTTTCAGAGACTGGAAAACTGCTTCACAATTATATATAATTAACTTGAGGTGAATCGATCTTACTAACAGGTATTTAACATCGGAATGTCTTAGCAAAGTGGAGTGGTTTAAGGTATCAGGAGATAACAAAGGGAGTTATAGAAAGGGAACAGACTCTTTCCAAGCTACCTGGAAAAATAGGTGATATGATATTTCATGCTTCATCTTATCTTGAAAGATAGGAAATCTTCAGAAGTCATTACAAAATTTCTCCTACAATTATATATCTGTTCTTAACTGTTATTGAGTCACTTCCAGATCAAAATTAAAACAGCAACCTCTTCTCTCTTTTTTAACCTACCTTAAGTTCACCCAGACAACTCTAATCAGACAGCTTCTGTAACAGGACTCTGCAGGAATCCAGGTAATGCTTCTGGAGCAGGCAGAATCCTTCCTTTAATTGCAAAGAGTCCAACCCAGCCCTTAATGTGGAGAAGGACCACTCTACAGAGCTTCCCCTGCTGGAGCCAGACTAGTTCTTAGTGCCAGGAAATGCAATCATCTTGCAACAGAAACAGCCTTTGAATGAAAATTCCTATAGAGCAATATCTGTGCCATTGTTTGTGAAAGGATTTACTTAATCTTCCTATCATCTGTCTTGTCATCAATGCCTAGTGATTGTTATACCATGACTTGTCCTCTGAAAATAAAGTCAGAGACATAGGGTTGTGAGGATGAAGTGAGCAAGAAAGACAATGTTTAAAAAAGCGCTAAATACTATTTGGATTACCTTGAGTCCTTGACAAATGCCTTTCTTTCCTTTTTTTCCTCTCCCCTGACTTTTTTCCTTGTCCTTCATCCCTGCTTCCCTTTATCTAGCCCTCTCTATGCTTTCTTTCTCTGAAATACATTTCTTTCTCTAAAAATTTGAACTTTATTTTAGAAAATTTTAGACAGGAATGAGTATTAAGTGTATGAACTCCCATATCCTCCTTTTTTTTTTTGCCCTCTGTATTTTTCAAGTAGGTTAAAGATCCATGGAAGTTAAATATTTAGGAAACATTTTTATTAGTAGAAAAACTATCAACCTAGTGTTTCTATAAAATTGCTTTTACTATAAATCTGCATAAGCTTTTTTTTAATCCAACTAATTGAACAAAACTGATAAAAGATAAAAGAGTTTCAGCAGATTCAAATCCTTCAACTTAGTGCTTTCTACTGAGACAAACACAAAAGTTCCCTTTGTTCATAGTTGTCACTTATTTATTTTTTTTTTGTACTCCTACAGTTATTGGCATCTGTGTGGGAGAGAAAGAGGATTTCTGCTAGCTGCAACCCTCGTGCCTTTGATTCTATTTCATTTCACTCCTTTCACAATTTCATTCAGCATAAAGGTTAGAGCAAATGCAAAAGGATAGAGTGACTTGCATTACTTAGTGAGGTAGACATTCTTCTTTCCCCAGGTTCACTTCAAGTCATCCACTTGATATCTCCCTTCACAAGGCAGGAAGCCAGGATGGTGGAGTTTGAGTGGGTTGCGTATAAATGGTGATAGGAGGAAAATATTTCTGCTAACTTTCTGGTGCTGCTTGTAAGCAAAATGTAAGAACACAAAGGTTTCACAAGAAGTTTCATTTCCCAATTGCCCTCAATGTGGTCATGATAACCATCTTTGAAGGGCACTCCATTCAAACTACAACTTGATCAGTGCAATTTCAACCTCCAACTCTCCCAGTGAAAGCTGGACGTTAGCCAAACAAGTAATAGTGATAGGGGAACTGACTCCGTTGCCGATTCTATCTCCCGATGTATTTCTTCAGAGTGTATGTTTCTTGCTCTCCTATTTGCTTTTTCTACACGTAATACTTATTACATCATTGACAACTTTTCATTTGTGGGAGGTTACATATTACCATAAGAATGCCACACAGAGGATGCTGCTAGTCTCAAAACTCCCAGAAGAATTATTCACCCTGCATTTGCCCGACTTCAAGGGATTAAGAATTCCCATAGCTGAATGCAAGGCAGTAATGCGCTTGGCCGAATGCAAGGGAGTAATGCGTTTGTCTCTACAGTTCCCTGGTCTTGTCGCCAGACTACTATGAACCAATTGAAT